CCCCGCTCCCACTGCCCGCCCCGAGGCGGACGACCGAGGCCTAATCGCCTCCAGGGCTGCGGGGCCTAGAGAAGGAAAGAGCCCAAGCCGAGGAGGGTGCCCCCAGTGCCGACTATGCTCCTCCGCACGGCGGCGGCGCCCTCAGGCCAATACACTGACGGCCCGCGACCACAGGCTCAGGCTCTCCTGGTTCACGTGCTGCCTGCCGGAAAGACAGTTTCACTCTTACCCTCTGCAAAATCCTCCTTAACATGGTTTAAACACCACCCGGCACCGCCGCGGTGACTCTCCGGACCCAGCGGCCCCCACGCGGGGTCACTCACTACTCGGGGGTGTGCGGGCGAGAAGGACTGTGCCGATAGGGGACTGGGGAAAGAGGTTGGGGCGAGAAGGTGGCGATTGCCTCGGTGGCGGTCCCGACTTCCCCACAGGCGGCGAGAGGGAGAGCGCGCAAGTGAGCGAGCAAGAGGGGAGGGAGGCAGCGAACGCCCGCCCGCCGGGCCGCTCCCGTAACTGACAGCTGGGCGGGCCGCCCGCGGCCGCTGGAGGGCGGGGCTGACGCCAACCCGCCCTCAAGGCCTGGCAATCCGCGGGGGGCGGTGCTGGAAGAGGGCTGGCCTAAGCCTGCGACCAATTGGAAGCGGCGGCAGCTTGGGCGGCCGCGTGACGGACAGGTGGCAGGACGTTAACGCCTCCGCTCCTTCCGGCGGGCCGAGCGGACGACGGGGCTGCCAGGCGCACGCCCGCGCTCTGTCGGAGGCCGCGCCCCCGCGCCGGCCGCGTGACCGCTGAGAAGTGGGTGGGGACCCGTAGGCCTGCCCTAGGGGTGTTACTGACCAGAACGGGAGGAGGGGGCTCCTGGGCTGATACCTGCTGCTCCGTCTCGAGTTACTATATAAAATTTGTCAGCGTGACTCTTTTCTTGACCGCCTTGGCTCTGGACACGGCCTCCGAGCCTCAGCTGGAGCGTCATTTTTGCTGGAAATGCTGACTCGACGTCTGAGCCCTTGCGTGGAAGCAGGAGGGTCGCAGACCTCCTTAACCGGTCTGTTGGACTTCCCTGGCCTTTTCTAATCCCTAGCTTCCCTTCACTACTCTCTTCCTGCTTCTGATTTCAACCAGTAAGAAAGTAAAGAAAATCAGAAAAAAACAAAAGAGGATGTGGTAGTAAGAAGCTGGAAGCAGGCAAGAGAAGTTTGGAGTTCTTATTGGATCATTGTTAGGTGCTGTCAAGTCGGCTCCGACTCACAGGTACAACAGAACGCAACACTGCCAGGTCCTGTGCCATCCTCACAATATTGCTATGTTTGAGCCCTTTGGATCACAGCAACAATATTTAATGAGCTGATATTAATGCGCTTTCTCTTAATAAAGCCCATGCTCGGCCTATTCGCATAAGGATTTTAAAAACCTATTCTGATAATAGACATATTGAAGTAAATCATTTTTAATCCCTTCTGTTTTACAGATTAGGAAAAACAATGAGGTCAGACATAAGTAGCGTGCCAAAGTAAGGATGTGGACTTGGAACTGGCTTCCAGGCAAGATGTCATTATTTAAACTCGAAAATCACAGCTCCTGAGCCTTACTATTCTGCTAATGTTCACAAGGCAAGAGGTTGGCCTTTAGTCTGGAAGGAAGAGAGAAGTCTTTAATATTGCTTAAAAAGGAGAGGAGAGGAAAGACTGCAAGTACTAGCCTTGTTAGAAAAAAACAAAACACCCTTGAATTCAATTTAGCAATGAATGGAGTGCTCATTGGAAAGTACTTTCAGATTTTTTGAGAAGATGGAACAAATTATTACTTTCAAATGTGTTAATGAATGTGAAAATGTTTTGTAAAGTGTAAAGCACTATATAATATAATATGTCTACCCGAAATATATTCTGCTTTTGACTCTGGGGGGGGGGTGCATCGGAATAGCCATCCCTACAACTAATTATTAATCACTATTGATAATAATGCACTTAAATATGTCCAGGCAACCAAAGTAAAGCACACACTTTTCCATCTTTCCAAACAAAGATGCTTTATTTTCAGACAATACGGGAAACATTCTACTATGTGACAGCAACATAGGTGAAAAATGGACATTTGTTTCACTTTTATTATTTTTCAAAAAATTGGTTTAAAATTGCTTATTAGCATTGTATGCCAAGGCTTTCTCTTTACTGGAATTCTCCTGTGGAATCTTTTAACTAATATAGTAGGCTCGCATCCACTGTTTAGCTAGATGAATTATTAAAAAAACTGTGTACTCACCTGCATTTTATGGTAACACTATCACTGGAATAATACACTACAGAACTTAATTACTCTGAAAGAAAATAAACACTGGGTGAAACATAATCATGTAAGAATACCCTTCACTAATCATGCAGTTCCTGCACGTAGCAGTTCCACTTACCCTATCTGACCGCTAATTCTTATCCACTCAGCTCACTTACCTTAATATTCCCACACCAGCAATCCTTTGACCCCATCAAGACTTCCAATCCATTAACACCTCTCATTTTCTTACTACCAGTGATTTTCCTAGTGTCCTAATTTCCATCAAAACCCAGCTCAATGTGTATGTTCAAACATTACAGCCCCCACCACATACTCTTGCAAATAACTTCTTCACCTCTCCATGGTATTTATCTAGCAGAGCCAGAATCCTGCTTAAACCCAACTACCTACCTACTCTATACTACACAGGAGCATACAGATACGTGTATATACCTGGGATTTTGGGGTTCATTTTACATTAATAGCCAGAGATCTCAGGCAGTCAACACTGTCCAGAAGTCCTGTTACACTTTCCTCCTTTTCTCACTCCTTAAAAAAAAAAAAAAGTGCATGCCTCTAGTTGTTTCATTTTCTTACCTCGAATTTTCTCAACCCACTCCAAAGAAGCCTTCTTCGCAACCATTCCAGTGAAGCTGCTCTTATTAAGATCACCAATGGCTGCATGATGCCAAATTCAGTGATGACATTGTTTGATTTTGACTCTCAACTACATTCAAAATAGTTGATCACTCTCTCCTTGGGTTATTTTCTTCTCTTGACACTGCATTTTCTGGTTTTTATTTTCAATGATTACTCCTCAGAATCTGACGGCTTTCCTCTGCTGTATATCTCATGTTAGAGTATACCCACATTCTATCCCAAGGTCCCTTCTTTTATGTATCACACGCAGCCTACAAGACATGTCTTTGCCCAAGACTCCCAAATCTTTATCTTCAGCCCTAACCTTTCCTCAGATTTCTAGACTTGTATATCAAATCATCTACTTCACGTTTCCGCTTGGATGTCTAATGAACATCTCAAACTTAACGAAAAAAAAAATTTATTTACTGTCTTCAAAACTGCTTCTTCACCAGTTTTCTTGTCTCAATATGTATAACTACCAGATGCTTAGTTGGCTCAAACCAAAAATCTTGGCATTATCTTTGACTTCTCTCTTTACCTTACCACTTCCCCTCCATCTAGCCAAGCCATCAGGAAGCCTTGACAGGTCTGACTCAAAAACATATCCCAGATCTTCCACTTCTCTCCATTATCACTCTAGTCCAAGGCACCTTCACCTCCTTTAACTCCTGTGTAGATTACTATAATAGTCTCCTAACTGGTTTCTATTTTACTTTGACTGCCCTACGATCCATTCATTATACAGCAGCTAGGAATACATTTTTAAAATGCAAATCCGATAATGTCACTGTTCTCCTTGGTCATAGCTTCCTATTTTAGGGTTCTCTAGAGAAACAGAATCAGTGAGATATATATACATATAGAGAGAGAGAGCGAGAGATTGATATATATTAATTAGTATATCTATCTATGTATATATAACTATATATAGAAAGAGAGAGACTGGCAAATCCAAAATCTGTAAGTCAGGCGACAGGATGGAGACTCTGTCAGGCTTGTGTCCCAAAATCCACAGGTCAGGCAATGGGAGGAGTAAAGAGAGAGATCTAGCAAAATTGTTTATATACAGTCTGGAGGCAGAACACACACTGAGGAAACTCCCTTTTTGCTTCTAAGGTCTTCAACTAATTGGTTGAAACCCGCTCACATTATGAAAAGTAATCTGCTTTATTTAAGGCCAATTGATTTAATAACATGTAACTACTTCATGACAGCAACTCGACCAAACAACTAGGTACCATGGCCTACCCAACTTGATGTATAAAATTAAGCATCACGCTTTCCATCACAGTTACAAAAAATCCAAATATCTTAACCTAAATAATATATACTTCGCCCAATCTGGTCCTGCCTGCTTCCCTGCCTTCCTCTTATAATACTCTCCCTTTGGCTTACTATACCCTAGTCACCCTGGACTTTAATTCTTCAGCTGCACAATACTTATCCCTGTCTTTGTACTAACCAGTTCCCAGTTAGGAAGTGCTTTTCCCTGAGATCATGTGGCTCACTTCCTGACATTCAGATTGTACCTTAAAGACCTCCTCCTCAGAGAGATTTTTCCAGGACCACATCATCTAAAAAAATCTCCAGCCTCTATCACATCACTTATTTTAAATCTCTGCATAGCAGAAAAAAAGCTACCTTTTTAGATTTTTCTTGTTTGTTTATTTATGTCTCTCCAACAAGAATGTAAGCTCCCTAAGAACAAGGATTGTATCTCTTATTCATTGCTGTATTCCCAACAATTAAAACTCTGCTCTGTCCATCATAAGCACTAACTAAATATTTGTTAAATGAATGAATGAAAAAGGTATATAATTATTCCTATAACAATTGCCTATCAGGGTTCCTCAGTTTAATATCTTCCTTTTGAGAAAATATGGTCCAAATCTAACAATCATGAAAGCAATCCAACAATCTTTTGATCCTATCCGGTAATCATCTTTTTTCTTTTGATATAAAACGTATGTACATTTCTTGACTCTACAAAATTTCCCAATATTATGGAAAACAACTTCCTTCCCTACTTTCTGTAATTAGAACAATGTTAAGGCATTTTCTTCCTTATTAATTTCATGTTTAACAACCAATAATTCATTTGTCATTAGATGCAAGAACATAACAAGCCAAATGCCAGATGATGTCTCAGTATAAATAAGACCAAAACAGTTTATGGATTCTAAGGAATATACACAGGACCACTAACCAGCTATTTGGCATCAAGCAGCTTTTTTTGTTTTTTAACTTAACTGAATTGTTCACTTTTAGTAGTAGCATCATTAAACCAACTAATTGAAGCCTAGTATCAATCTATGCTTCTGTCAGCCTTTAAGGACAGAGTAGGGAGGGAAGCAAAGGCGAGGCCTTTAAGGGAGCGGGGACATACATGAATTCTCCAGTAGCCCCACTGATTTCCTCCAGACTCTGTACACATGCGGTCGCCATGAGTCAGGATCACTGCAATGGCAACTAACAACAACAACTAGTTGACTTGAGCAACCTCAAGAAAAGCATCAGGTCTCATTGAATTTC